GCGCAAAAGAGCCCCCCAGCACTGAGCTGCATTGTGGCTGGGAGCCACGGGGAGGCCTCAGCTAAGACTAAACTCTCAGTGCTGCCTAGGACCAAGTCTCGAGGATCCCTGCAGAGCTGCTCTGGGCAGCCGGATGGGGCCGGGGAGGGGCAGGGACCTGGCACACACGGGCACAAGCACATGTCCTTCGCAAGACCAGGCACATGTGAGTGCGTGCCCAAGATCCCAAGAGAACATTCTCCAAACAGCAGAACTCATCCAGTTTCAGCAGTGACAATCTCCAGAGCAAACAGAGCTTGTTCTGGTGAAGGACAGGTCAGACTAAGGAAGCCATAGACCACCCCAGGAGGATGGCCCGTCACAATCCCTTCTCCTCCATTCTCCTTTTGGGATCTTGGGCACGCATGCACACGCGCCTGGCGTTGAGTTTAAGCCACCGGGTCCAGGACTCAAACCACGGTCAACTACATGGGAGTCCAGCAACATAGCCATCATGGCAACTGCTGGTCCCTATTTCTTCTTTCATAATAGCGTGTACACACACATGTGAGAAAGGGGGGGAGAGAGAGAGAGAGAGAAACATGAGCACCCGTCAAAGACCAGGTCATGGTCCAGCCACGCTGCGCTTCCCTTCCTCTAGTCCTCCAGCTGTCAGGTCTTGAGCACCAACTCACAGGGCTAGAAACCTAACCCATGGTTGCCACGTGGGATCCAGCTTCTCTGGAGCAGCACATCACCACTGCCGCAGGAGGTGGGGCTAGGAGCGGGAACCAACAGTTAGCGTAATGGCTATGTCGCTGGACTCCCACGTAGTCGGCCACGGTTCGCGTCCCGGACCCAGTGGCTTTTAACTCATGCTGGGCACATGTGCGTGCATGCCCAAGATCCCGAGAGGAGAACGGAGGAGAAGGGATTGCGGCGTGACCATCCCCTCTGGGGGGTGATTTCTCACTTTCTGTCTCTGTGTCTGTCTGTCTGTCTGGTGAGCGCACGCGCCCTGTAGTGAAAAAAATCTCTCCAAAAAAAAAGAACAGCTGGAGACAGGAAAGAAGTCCAGACGAGGTCCAACAGCAGTTTTTATTCCTTAGGAACAAAGATTCATAAAGACACTCCAAAAAGAAAACAACACAGATGACAGGGAGGTGATTCAGGACTCAGAGGGGTGGACACTCCACAGTGGAGCCGGTCATGGCCCTGGTTTGGGGATACACATCTGCCCTGTCCCACCACCTGAGAGACAGAGAGCAGGGGCAGTGAGAGGCAACGCTTCTCTGCACTGAAGAGGTGGTGAAATGGATCTGTCCATAGCCAGAGGCCCAGGGACCCCGAAACTTCCCTCTCAACAATGGAGGTAGAATGAGGAGGCTTGGGTGTCACAGACAACCAGAAACTAAGCACAGGGGCCCACTGTGACTGAAAAAATCAGGGCCGAGATGACACTGCAAGGGAACCGGTGGCTCTGAATGTCATGGTGGACAGTCAGTCTTGCCAAACTGGGCCCTAGGGCAGTTAAAACCACAAGGGCTGTTCCTCAGTCACTTCAAAGGGCCCTGACTGTTGAATCGGAAGCATCACCCTGTCCCCAGAGGATCCACTTCTATCCTTGGTTCTGGTGCAGTCCTGCCCCCAGCAAGCCTGGCCCTCTAGAGAACAGACTGCTGAGGGAGAGGAGAAACCTGCCCTACCCTCACGCAACCAAGAAGTGACAGCTTCTAGAACTGGGGAGACGGCCTGAGAACAAGGGCCTTCGGCGTGGGGTAGGTGATCCAGACCCATCCCAGTATAAGGTGACCTCTAGCTACTGCTGGTAGACTGAGGGCACAGGCTGGCTCCTGAGTCATGTCACAGGGAGGTCTCCTGGAGGACAAAGGTGGGGCCGATGCCCTGGTGGGCGCAGCCATCCTGGGCCATCACTTCTTTGTCTCTGCTGTCCCCCAGGACCCCATTCCCCATCTTCTCTGTGAAGAGGTTGGTGTCCACGGAGAGGTCCTGGGGAACACACAAAGGCAGTAGAGCTGGTGACTACAGACAGGGTGGTGAAGGCCCCTGCCTTGATCTCTGAGAGAGGGGATAGAGAAAGCAAGGCTGTGTGGGGAGGGGAGAGCAGCGAGCAGTGAGCAGCAGGGAGAGCAGAGCAGCGAGTAGAGCAGCGAACAGCAGGGAAACTGGAGGAGTGGAGCCAGGGCAGAGCACAGTGGGTGAGAAGGGAGAAAACCCGCCAGGGCTTAAGTGCCTCTATGACCCTAAGAGCCTTCTGCCAATGCAGCCCTGTGGGCAGAAGCTGGAGCAGTTGTAGCAGTCCAAACTCAGACAGAGCAGAGACAGGAGGCAGAAGAGGGAAGGGACGGATAAAAGAGGATGGTGAGAAACCTGGGGGGTCAGGCGGCACCTGCGGAGAAGGGGGAGCATGTGGACAACTGGCACTACCTGTTCCTCTGCACCGAAGCAGCCCCTGCACCGAAGCCGCTTCTGGCAAGACCAAGGCAGCAGGGCCAGGAGTCTCGGCAGCACTGGGTAAATGGTCCGAGGGTTCAGGGCCCGGCCCCGCATTCCCCCTGAAAACAAAGGCGCCTCTGAGGGTCCCACTCAGACCCTGTCCAGAGCAGTGAGCCCTCTGCCCTCCCTCTGGGCCCCAGGGACCCTGCCCCCTCCCACCTCCCAGATCTCAGCAGATAAGTCTGGTATCACCAACACCCCAGGTTCAGAAGGGCAGGTCCCTTCTCCCTGAGACTGTAGAATCCCAAGTGCCTCCCTCAGCCCCACCTTGTTTCGCTGCCCATGGTCGCACACCCTCACCTGTGAGCAGACTGACAGCCAGGCCCACCACGATGACTGTGGTGGAGTTGTGAGCGCTGTACCATAAATAAGACAGGGAGTAGAGCCGCTGCAGCCCTGAGGGCCTGGGGAGAGCAGAGGGTGAGGACAGTTAGCCATGTGTTGTTGGGGCACCCTCAGGCACCTGGCTCCACCCACCTACAGGGTCCCAGAGTCTTAGGGCCCATACCCACACTTTTCCAAGGCTTCTGGTGGCCCATCCCTTAGCAAGGCCCTATGAGGCCCCTCAGACATGGGCTACTGTCCCCAGGGAGAAAGTGCAGCAGGCCCTGGCATGGGCTACTGTCCCCAGGGAGAAAGTGCAGGCCCTGCCTCACTTGGAAAGGGTGGTGACGGGCATCAGTGTGGTCACAGAGGTGATGGTCAGGTTGCTGGGCAGGGAGAAGCTGGACCCATTAGGGGGAGAGGGCGCCATGCTGAACCCCATGTTGGTCACTATGCTTCCGATGCCAATCCAGAAGGCCATGATGAGTCCAGCCAATAGGCCCACGATGGCACCCTGCCCAGAGACACAGCACACTCCCTGGTCACAAGGCCAGTCCTACCAACCTTCAACCAGTTCCCCGCACTCCCAGTGGGAGCCCTCCAACCCAACCCCGAGGCCCATCCTGCAGGCATGACTGTGAAACCAGGAGTGTCACTCACGGGAGGGTTGGCACACGGAAAGAACATCCCAAGGCAGAAGAGTCCGAGCAGCGGCCCCCCGACCATGCCAAAGATGCTGATTGCCGCCTGGCAGGACAGGGTTGAAAAGAAAGCACTCCCAGGCTCAGAGACTCCTGCCCCGTGACTCAGACCACAGCCACCCACAGTGCCCCAGAGCCCCGGTGTCAGGTCTGATCTGCTTCTTCCACATGGAACTATCAGAAGTCGTGGTTCTAGAGGACAAGGATGGCCAGGGGACATGCTGTGGCTTCTCCTGAGGCTGGTCCTTAGATCTCTCTGGGCCTACGCACTCCCAGGAATGACCTGGTGGCATTGAGCTACTTGAGTCTGTCCCCAGCTAAATGTGGTCCATCAAAGGGGGGTTTCTGATACTCGCCCCCATGCCATTCCCCACCAAGCTGCTGCCTTCCTCGATTCCCTGTCCCCATTCATTCCCTCGTCCCCTCCTCAGCCATTACCTGCAGCACAGGTCCCATCTGGGAGGAAATATAGGCCATTCCCAGACAAAGCAGCCCATAGCCAAAGGCTGAGAAGGAAGGAAGCAGATGGGAGTTAACACAAGGGAAGGGGTAAAGCAGAGCTTCCTCTGCAGCCAATCCACCACCACCGTGTCACCAAACAGAGGGCACGTGAGTCATGCCCAGCTGCAGGTCCTGCCCACCACGTGCTCCCACCTACATGACTCAGAGACCTCCCCAGGAAATGCCCTGAGATGTTAGCAACCAAGTGAAGGTCGGGTGCTTTGTTAGGCAAGTCCTTTACGGCAGACTGATGACAGTGGCCGGGCACATCTCAGCGGGCACAAGACTAACGACATGAGGGAGCATCTCACCGAGGGTTCTGGAAAGCATGATGGCCTGGGCTTCAGAGAAGTCTGGGAGCCAGGGTCGAATCAGGTCCTCCATTGTAACAGTGGCCAGTGAGTTGAAAGCAGAGGATATGGTGCTGAAAAGGAGGAAGAGAGGGCCACGCTGAGCTGAGTCTGGGAGTTCAGAGGGCAGAACACACGCAGGACTCTGGTGGGCACAGCACTGGAAGGGCAGGAGAGAAGACATACGCGGCCAAGAAGCCTCCTCACAGACGGGCCGAGGCTGCCTCAGGGGAGGCCCGCAAGGCAAGGGCACGGGCTCTTTTTGAGTGTGGGTATAGGCTTTGTTCAAGTGGCCAGTATGCAGCATTGTAAAGACCCCTTAACCCAGACGGGGGCATGTCCTGGGAGCAGACATACTGTCAGACCGCTGGCCAGGAGAAACTGGGCCCACTGAGGCAGAGGGCACCATGTCAGAGTCCATGCTGGTCACTCTGCTCCCGATGTCGACCCTGAAGGCCATGATGAGTCCACGCCACCATGGGTCTTGTCATCCACAGGTGGATGGGCACAGTGAGGAAAGCCTGACGAGGGTCCCCCCTCCACTCACCACCTTGTACCCAGTAGGAGTCAGGTGCAAGGAGACGGTCCAGGGGGGTACCTGAGGGAGCCACTGAAGAGGCAGGCCACGAAGAGCCCGGGAAGGCCCGGCAGGCCTCTCAGCAGGTCCATCACGAAGTACAGGACAAACTGCAAGCAGAGCAGTGCAGTGCTCTCCTCAGAGGGCTGCCTTCCCCAGGACAGCCTCAGGACGCCCCCTCTGCACAACCCCCAGTCACCACAAAGACCGGGTGTACAGGAAGAGGAGGCAGGCACTGAGGCCTCTCTGCATCCAAGGGAGCCCACAGCAAGTGGAGGAAATGGGCCCTGCAGAATGACACCATTCACACCCTGCTTCTGCATCTGACTGGCAGTGTGACTTCCGTATTAAGGACCCCACTGAGCCACTTTCTCCTCTGTAAAATGCATCTCCACCGAGACCAGGTGTGTGTGGCTCCAAGCAGTGCACATGGAGAATGAGTAAAGGTAGGTCCCTGCCCCAAGACTACAAGCGCCATGACACGGTGATGTGGGGACTGGGACCCTCACATGCTGGATTGCTAGAACCTTACAAAGGACTTATGGCCACCTCCTAGTCACAGTGGGAGTTCTTTCATAGCCACCCAGACACTCCTCTTTGGGCCCAGGTTGGTTGCCCCCCTCACAGGTGCAGGAGGAAGCTGGGGAGGCCTTCTCACCTGGTCAGGGGCTGCCTGAGACTGCTGGGAGCTCATGGGATACTCCTGGTAGTAGGCGAACATGACCAGGCCAATGAGGCAGCCCATGCAGAGGACCACCTGCTGGCAGGGGAACACTGCGTAACAGGAGCTGTGAAGACCAGGGCCACGGGGAGACAGAGTCAACAGTCGGCCTCAGGCACATCCTCCCATCATCCAGGACAGTGAGCTCCTGACCGCACTGGGAGTGCTCATGTGTGTGCTCTGGCCTCCTGCCCCACCCCAGCTGCCTTGGGGAACCCCTCCCCCTAGGCCTTGCTCCACCATCCTCCTGGGCCTTCCTGGGCCCGCACTCACAGCACAGCAGCCTTCTCTGTGCGGGAACTGAGGTAGCGCTGCACCTGAGCCTGGTTCACTCCATACAAGGAGAGCATCATGAAGACACCCCCAAAGGCCAAGGTCCAGAAGGTGTGTCGCACGAAGGGGTCTGGATCCAGCCTGCAAGGGATGCCACCCAATTACTGTGCCACAGTCCCAGTCACACTCACCCACCCATCTCTCCTGGCAACAGGGGTCAGAGAAGAATGGAGTAGAGACTTCACAGCGAGGGCCAAGAGAGCAGAAGCTGGGTAGATTCACAAAATAGCACAGCAAGGGATCCATTTCTCCAGCCCCTGCCTCATCCCAGGAGGGGTCCTGACAACTGCGAACACAGCCAGGCGCCTTGATCTCCCTCCATCGCAAGTGGTGCCAGCCTCCCACCCATCTAGATTGTACCTGAAGCTTCTCAGGTTGCCCTCTGCTGTCATAGCCCTGAGACGAGGCTTTAGGACAAACCCAGCCCCCAGGCACTGGAGCGCCCAGCCAGAGGAAGGGGTGTACTTACTCGATCCCCGAGATGCGGCCATGCTGGGAAGCCACATCCCACACACGCCCCAAGCCGCCCACCTTGGCCGACCCCACGATGATAACGGCCAGCTGCCCTAGGAACATGACCAGCGTCTGGAACACATCTGTCCAGATGACAGCCTTCAGCCCACCCTGCAGAGAAAGGATGGCATGCCTGCCACGCATGTCTTCCAAACTGTCCCCAGGGAGGATGCCGGGCCACTGCGCTGCCATCAGGGCACAACTGCTGAGGCCCTGTTGACACGCCTCCCATCCCATCCTCCACAAGGCGTCCCGTCCCTTACATCCCACATGAGAAGTTCCTCCGCCTCCTCACCTACCTCACACCTCATCCCTTTCTGACCTTCTCTCAGGGCCCTCCTCCCCCAGGGCTGACTGTACTTACCAGAGCAGTGTAGATAGTGCAGATGATGCCTAAGGTCAGCACCGACAGCCACAGGTCAAAGCCAGTCACTGTAAGCAGATGAAAGTCACGTTGCACTTCTGGGAGAGGGCTTCTTGGGGAGAAGCCAGAGAAGCCCTGGGCCGGCCATGTCATGTCACAGAGATGAGGCTTTGTCATCATGGATGAAATCAACCATTCACCACCGTGGGGAAAATGTGTGCAGAGTTCCAGCGAAAGGTGCTGATTAACCCGTTCGGATGGGTGTGGTGATGTGTGCTTCGCTTTCAAGTGAAGCGAAACCAGCCTGCTTTCACCTCGGAAGACCAGCCCAAAGGCCCAGGGTAAAAATAAACTCCCTGTCCAAGGTTGGATTTTCTTCTGCACACCCTCCTCTGCCTTCCCCACCCTAAGGAGTCTTCCCAGCCACCAGGGCTAGGAGCCAGGGACATGAGTCCTCACCTGCATTGAGGGCCAGCGATGGAGCATAGAGCACGACCCCCATGTAGATCACCTGTGGGTGTGGAAAAGAGCATGCAGGGAGTGGAGGGAAGGTGGGTATCGGCTCCAACAGCCCCGGGCTTCCCCCACCAGGTTTGCTGCCTTCCGCCGTCCTCCCCAGATCTGCCTTGCTGCCATCACGGTGCGGGTGCACCAGGACTGGGACGGGCAGCAGGATGCTCTGTGGGCTTCAGGGATGCTGGCCCCAGGAGGAATTTCAGTCCTGCCGTCTGGAGGCGGTCTGGATTCAAATCCTCCTGTAGTGCTCCAGGCTCAGTCTCCACCCTCATTGCACTTACCATCTGAAAGATGAAGGTCACGGTCCCGCAGACTCGCACAGCTTTATTGAACCGCAGCTCCAGGTACTGGGAGGAACACAGATAGAAAAGGTATCCTCCCAGTTCCACCCCTACAGTCACACACAATCTCCCTCCAGAGGTCCTGGAACATGAGGGAACATCCACCCACATGCACTCTGGGCCCCCCTGGTATAGCACTCTCCTCTCTACCTCCCCGCAACTCTGACCTCACCCAGAAAGAACTTAAGGATACAGAGAGTTCTCTGTCACTCTCATTAGGCAGAGAAGCCTGGGGTCCCTCATCTGTGCCACGTCCTGCCTCCACCCTGCCCCCAGAACTCCCACGTACTCTTCCTTCCCTGCTCACCTCGTAGGCACTGGTGAGATGCAGGCGGTAGAAGACAGGGATGAAGACGTGTGCAGGGATCAGCAGTCCCAGGAAATAAGAGCAGCCCAGGAACCAATACTGGGTCCCGAATCGGTAGATCTCAGACGGCACGCCCAGGATGGCCACGGCTGACTGGAAGGTGGCTAGCAGGGACAGCGCCACGGGAAGGCAGCCCATTTTGCGGTCCGCCATCAGCAGCTGGCCGATGGTATGCTGGCCCCAGCCCCGACAGGCATGGTACAGCCCGATGGCAAGGGAGAGAACCAGCAGCAGGATGAACACCACGTAGTCGATGAGGGAGAAGGTGGTGACCATGCTTGTGTCTGAGGTTGGGGGCACAGGGACCGAGGTGCTCACTGCTATACTCATACCCTCACTCTGATCTGTAGCCAGCTGCTGCCTCTGGGCTGGATGGTGGCACACAAGTAGCTAAAACCTGGCTCCCAGCCACGGCCTCACAGTCCTCCTTCTCTTCCAAGTGACATTGTCCAGGGTGAGCTGCAAAGGAAGTGGCTCCTAGTCAGGGCTGTCCTGCATTCATGGTCACATGCCCTCAGGCCCTGGGCATCTCTTCCCTATCAGACTTGGACCAGCAGTATGGTGGTAGTCCTTCAAGGCCCAGAGGTCCTGGTATGGGTTAGGTAGAGGAGGTGGTGGGGCGAAATGCAGAAGCAGACAGCTGGGAGACATTAACTTGGCCAGGACCTTTGGGTATACAGAGATGTGAAATTCAAGAGCCTGCTTAGGCTCTCCACCCGAGTAGCAACAGACAAATCAGCTCTAGCCTAAGTTTCTTCCCCAAATTCCCCACCCCCATGCAGGCACAGACCCAGTCACTACAATGCACTAAGCCAGCAGGGTCCAGCCTGGCGCCGCAGCCCTGCAGGCACAAAGAAACGGAGAACAACGACAGCAGGACTTACCCCACTCCTTGGCCTCAGCCTCACTTCTCATGATCCCCAGTGTCACCCTCCTAACAGCACCCCTTCTTAGCACGGATCACCTGGGAGACTGGCTCCATGGCAGGCCCAAACTCCCTCCCAGGCATCCTCAGGTCAACAGCCCTGTGCCCCCTTCTTACCAGTCTCCCCTGCCACCCAACTCTCACAATACAGTCAACGGTGGACCGGGCAAGGCAAGAGGTAAGATTCCAAAGCAAGAGATGCAAGGCGACAGGGCTCCATGCTGAAGCCAGGGGCTGAGTTATGATTCCAGGCCCACCCTGAAGAGAAGCAAACCTGCCAGCTTGCTGGGGGCAAGGGAAACAGCCGGTGGGAGTGGTCCCCTTCTGCTGGGCAGACACCTGAAGAAACGATCCCTGTGCTGAGGCAGAGCTGTCTGGAACTGGGGAGAGGCCGAGGGTCTGGCTCTCTAGGTAGCTGAGATGAGATCAGGAATTGGGGGCGGGGTGAAGCACAGCTGTTATTTTTTCTGGCCCCTTCGGGGAACCAATCACTGTGATCCAAATGGCCCTATCATTTTATGGCCCCCAAACCCCAACTCTGCCCTAGAGACTGAGAACAGCAAGCAGGGAGCTCACACTCCACAGCATTCCTAGAAGGATTAAGCCCAGAGCCTAAGCACTCCATGCTGGAGGGAGCTGGAAAGGAGGAGGAACTGCGAGAAGACCAGACCAAGACTAAGACTGGAGAACTGCTTTACTACCTCCACACGAGTAAGAGTAATCCTCCAAGCACACACCACAGTCCTCAGAGGCACAGCGAGGGGAGGGCAGTATTTCAAAACCTGACTCTTCAGAGATCACTCTCACTTCCCCTCACCTTGTACACAACACACCAGGGCCCAGATGGGCCGAGCACAGAGCCACTTATTGCAGAGACCAGATTAGAACCCAGGTCTATCCTCCTGTTTTCCATTTGTATCACATTATCCTCAGGAACAATCCCCGAGTACTTACTGGTATAGGGAAATACCAGAGAATGCTGTGTATTTAGATAACACGACAGGAATGACAGTTAACATTTTTGAACACCTACATATGTCCAGTGCTTTATAAACATTAGTAACAATGAGTAACAGCTAACACTTTCAAAACACGATGTCTGGGACCAGCAGTTAGCGTAATGGCTATGTTGCTGGACTCCCATGTAGTAGACCGCGGTTCGCGTCCCAGGCCTGGTAGCTTAAACTCATGCCAGGCGTGTGTGCGTGCATGCCCAAGATCCCAAGAGGAGAATGGAGGAGAAGGAATTGCGGCATGGCCATCCCCCCGGAGGATGATTTCTCGCTTTCTGTCTCTCTGTCTCTCTCTGTCTGTCTGGCGAGCGCACACGTCTTATAGCAAAAACCTCTCAAAAAAAAAAAAAACAAAACAAAACCACGATGTCTCATGTTAAGACATGAACACTCTCCAGTTCTCAAAAGGAACTCAGTAACAAAGCCTTCTTCTTAAACCTTGAGGTTTAAGACAGGTTAAATGAACTTAAGGTTCCTCAGCCTCACAGTCCACAACAGAGAAACAGTGTTGGGGGCCAGCAGATGGTGTGGTGGTTAAAGTACTGGGCTCCTACAGAGTTGACCGTGGTTGGAGTTCCAGACTGGGTGGCTTGCTTTCTCACTTTCTCTCTATCTCTGATGAGCATAAATGCCCTAAAGCAAATTTAAAAAATAAAAATAAGGGACCAGCGGATCCTCAGCCTCACAGTCCACAACAGAGAAACAGTGTTGGGGGCCAGCAGATGGTGTGGTGGTTAAAGTACTGGGCTCCTACAGAGTTGACCGTGGTTGGAGTTCCAGACTGGGTGGCTTGCTTTCTCACTTTCTCTCTATCTCTGATGAGCATAAATGCCCTAAAGCAAATTTAAAAAATAAAAATAAGGGACCAGCGGATGGCGTGGTGGATAAAGGTACTGGACTCCCATGTGGCCAATCACGGTTCAAGTCCCAGACCTGGAGGCTTGCTTTCTCACTTCTCATTTCCCTCTCTCTCACTCCATTCCTCTCTGGTCAAATTAAAATAAATAAATAAATAAAGTTAAATAAAATAATTCTTAAAAAAATT